GTAAACTGACTTCCCCAACCAAGGAAACCCTATGCCTGTCATGCATCCTGCTAACTCAGTGCAAGCCTTCCCAGAGTAAATGTGGACACATAAGCCAAGAACTTCCCACTGAAACATGATCGTCCAAGGCTGCGACAGGGAACCCCGTTGACCTTGTAGTATGAGCCCTTGATGGAGAGAGGTGTCCTATTGCTAGCCTGGTGGACCTGTGTCAAGTAAATTATTTACACATCGTGTGTCCCTTTCCCAGTTGGTGGGCAAGCTTAGTCTGTTCTTGGGGAGACAGACCCCAGAAACTTTGGACACCTTCACAATTTTGAATAATGGTTATGGAGAGAGTAGAAGTCAAGGTTGTAAAGGTTCTTCCAGATTACTCAACAACACTGTCACCTCCCCACCTTCCAAGGCTTCACCCCAATTTCACATAACTCCAATTGAAAATTCTCTCCCATCCCCTCTAGCCTCCTCCTGGAGTGGTCTCTGTAAAATTGTGATGGTGACCTCATTCAACCATACGGCTGTGACCAACTGGTAAATCCCACTGAATGTTAGACGGCTACTCTAGCCCTTTGCCTAAGAAATGGTTATCTTTGCAATATATGTTGTAACATTTAGACATTTTTATCTGATCAAGAAACAACTCTGAATTTGGCAAAAATGAAAATATTATTGTTGGATGGGACATCAAGGAAATGTGATAGCTACAAAATCTCTTCAGCTATAATAGGTGAGGATAAAGTAGGATGGATCAGTCAACTTGTAAAATTAACAGGCAAAGCCGGTCCCATTATTCCAACTCTAGCTTCTACAGCGCCCCTCATCTTAGGGGGCTGGGTATTTTAGAAGCACAGCAAGAGCCTCAGCCATGAGAAGAACCTCAGCAGAAAAGGCTGTGCTCCTGTTGAAAGGCTGCACCCATTAACCTCACCACATCTTCCGACTTCCGCCAATCTCAGTGCAAATGAACAAAAAAATGGAGGAGGATTTGCAGGCTAAGCACATAACAAGCTGCCCGATAAATATGTGAAAGAGATGAGACCTAAACCAGAAGCCTTTTGGCTTCTGATGCTATTACGCAACAGCGTTTTTGGGCTCAGTCCCACCGGGCCTCTAAGTAATTAGCAGCACGTTAAAGGGACTGGCAGCTGTTGGCATCGGAACAGTCAAATATACCGGAGGGCAATTAGTTCTGTCTTCCGTGCAGCAGGGCTGGTACCCTCAATATGGCAAGATTGATGGGGTGACAGAGACAGCTGCCAAGGGTTTTAAAGGGAGACACGCCTAATTTTACACTTGGAAACTTTGCCCTTTTTGAGAGGTTCCTGTTTTATGATAATTGTCAACCGTTGTACCCTGGAAATTATTTCATGCTGTCTGAAGCAATTGCCTCCAGCCAAATCAACCTTGCAGATCTTGCCAAAGATCTCAGGCAGGAAAAGCCCTTTCCTCCAGCATCTGCTGCTGCTTTCCTAGGAAGCCCTGAAACTCATCTTTGCACAAAGCGCGTTCTCTGCCCCCAAGCGCCAGGCTTTCAGCTTGAAGGAGTAGCGAGCGCTGTGGGACTGATGCTCTGAGTCAGGAACAGGCAGCAACCGTCTATCCAGATTGCCTTCAACCAGCTGTGCAGAGACAAACGGCACAGACAAATGGCGGCCAAGCCTGCAGTGCTCCAAGGTGAACTTATCCAGATCTAAATGCAAAATGCAAAGCGAGCGGCAGTTGTTTGCAGGAAGCCTGAGATAGGGAGGCTAACATTACTCAAGATTAGAGAGAACCCCATATGGAGAACAACTGAGGCTGCTGTCATCAGAGATCAGCTCCCTCCTTGACGCCTCCTCCAGAGGGTTTCTCCAAATGAGGATTCTGACATAATGGCCACACGTGCTGCCACCTAGTGACTGCCACAGAACACACCTGGGGTAGTGATGGGGATCTGTTCACACGGCACACGTCTGCCTGCATCATGCAAATTTCCTACATGGAAATTGATTCATGAGAATTTCCTACATGCCTGATTCATGCGAATTTCCTACATGGAAGCTGCTGCCAAGTGTTAGAAATATAACATGGAAAACGTGGAACACAAAATTGCAACTTGATTTTAAAGCAATTAAATGATCTGCCCGGCTTTACAGCAGTTTGTTGTGCCAGAATGTGGATTCGTAGGTTGCAAAGCTCCGCCAAGGATGCCTCGAAAAGACAGACAGGCTCGCTGATTTACAGGGCCTCCCTCCTGCCACACCCATCCCAAAGTTTTTATTTTTATTATTTATTTATTATTACAAAAAAAGGAAAAAAATACATACAAGTGCTTTAACATAAAAGTGAAAAAGTACAACAAAAAAATTGAGCCATTCAGAGCTGAAGGAGCAAGCAATGGACCTCTCCAGAGAGAATGGGTCTCAGCCAGCTGCTGCCATTAGTGGGAATCTTCAACTTATTCAGCTCTCCTTTTTATTTAACAGCACAGGAGTGGAGGAGCACTTTTTCTTCTGGAGAGCTGTTGTTTAATACCATAATGACCCCAGTGAGATCTAGAAGCACCGGTTTGCAAGCCTGGCATGCTCTGGAACACTTTTCCAGGCCGACTGACCACGGCAGAATCCCCTTCACAGCCCTGAATGCTGCTCAGGAACCCAGCTTGGGTTATGCAGCCTGTGGATTTCACAAATTTTTTTCCTGAGCGCAAAAAAATCCTGCAAGGGACTGAGGAGGACAGAGGACTCTGATATCTTTGCTCGTGCTAACACTGAGGAGGACAACCTTCTTGGTCCCAAGAACTGCCTCCTCTAGCAGACACTCAAGCAAGAGGCAAACAGGCACAGAAAAGCTGGGTTTAGACTCTGCATTCTGGTTACCACTCCACTGAAATATCCAGGAACCCCAAATGAACCCTATGGCTACATTCCCACAACACTTTGAACCACAAACTACTCAGCCCTATTTTCCCATAGTTTAGCACGTGTTATGAACCCAGCCACTGGGTCTTGCTTCCCATCTAGCTAGGATTTAACCATTCAGACCACCATCCCGCTTCAGTTTTGATCAAGATAATTCCTTCTTGCTGCTCTTTGTAGGTGGGTAAGGAAAGCAGAAGGACTTCTTACTCTGAGGGTAGCCAGGGGTTGTCCAGATGGGAACTAATGTACTGTAGTGTTTCTCAACCTTGACAACTTTAAGATGTGTGGACTTCAACTTCCAGAATTCCCCAAACAGTATTTGAAATTCTTGAATATTTCGGCCACTTTTATTGTAGGAGAGCCATGATAAACAAAAATTAGGAGCCTAGTATCTTTTTTGACTGACAATTTAATTTTTTATTTTCATGAGCTGTGGCTCACTTTATCAGCTACACGACAAAAACTGGCTAGACGGATGGAGGTTGTACCCAACTCTGGCCAAGTTAAATCCTCCTCCACTCTATGCATCTGATGAAGTGAGCTGCAGCTTACAAAAGCTTATGCCTTTTAATAAAATACGTTGGAAGTAGTGTTACCAGACTCCTGGTTTTTTTCACCTTCCACAGAATTGCAGAATACATACTTTCTTGCTGTCTTACAGGAAATAATTAATAGAAGAAAAGAAAAGCTTGCTGGGATTCACCCTGCCATTAAAGGTACCACAAAACCAGAGAGAGAAAGAAGCTAAAGTGACGGAAAATAAATGAATGAATTTTTCACTGTACCCAAAGGCCATCAACAAAGTGATTCTTTCCAATTGAAAGAAACCAGTCTCTACTCTGCTTGCAATTTTAAAGGTATTTTGGATGGGGCAACATTTCTCAAAACCTCAGAACAGCTCAACAATTTCTCGGATGGCAGGAGGTGCACTTTCACTGCTAAGAATAGTGGAACTGCTAGGCTACAATAGATGGTTATTGATGTGAGAGTTCACGTAGAAAGGGGGACTGGTCTTCACAAAGTGTGTGTGCAGAAAAGAGATGCATGCCCTGGGAACTGTGTCCATGGCAACTAATCCAGGGAACCCCTGCAAGAAGCTCTGAAGAAGAGAGATCAGAAAGCAGCAGGCACGCCAAACGTGTTGCAGGACTGGGCATCGAGGACACAGTAATGACTGAAACTCAGCCTAAATCCATAACGTGCAGAAAACTGTGTGTGTGTCTGAATCATGTGCTCTGTTGTGTTTCTATAGAGGGGAAAAATACATAAAAGAAACCCAAGATCAATATGAAGGGCACACAGGAGGCAGGCAGATCAAAAGCCGATGATGAAATGGCACACTGAAAGAAGAACTGTCAATCAGACCAGCTCCTAAATGCTCCCCCCTCTTTTGTGCGCTTAAGGAACAGAGCAACGTATTTTAAAAGACATGAGGAGGAATTAGAAAAATGTTCAGCTGGAGGAAAAGGAGCCTTCCCTTTAATCTGATTCAGCAGGGGAACCAAGAGCAAGACTAGGGTGGGGCACCTTTGCATTTAGGGAACAGAAAGTAATCAGGCTTTTTATAAAACAAGAGCCAAATCCATCTGCAGAGGTTTCTCCTTGGAAGATTTTTCCCCTTCCCAGGCCATGGCAACAGCGGGAATCTGAAGGACCACAGCTCTGCCAAGCAGGCATGGCAATTCCCCAAGACTGGGGTGAAAAATGCAGGGGAGCAGCACCAGCTGTTAGAAAGGGATGTAGGTCCTTTGAGCACAAGGCTGGATGGGACTCCAAGCCAGCAACAAACAAATGAAATGCTGGAGCTCATATAAGATCAACAAGTCAAATCTGCATTGGGGTCTCCGTCATAATTCAAGCTGGTCTTGCTGGTCACTGAAATTTTTATTTTCCATCACCCACATTCCCAGTTCTGCATTCTGAATTGTCAGAAGGTGTGCAAAACCATTCAAACACAAAAACACCCTATCCCCTAATCAATCAAATCTTTATTACTGTCAAAGACCAGCATAAGAAGAGTGGGGTACAGTCAATTAAATGTTTATTACTATTATTATTACAATGATGACAATTCTGATGTATTTTCTATGCTTTTTAATTGACTGTACCCCACCCTCCTTATGCTGGCCTTTGACTGTAATAAAGATTTGATTGATTGATTGCACCCTATACCAAGTTTGAAACAAGCTATCTGAATCATTTTGAAAGTGTTTTGAGCTTGAAACAAGTCCAAAATGATCAAAACAGGGCATTTGGAATTCAAAATAGTATGAATTTGAAATGTTCTGCACAGCCATACCATTTAGGCTTGTTATGGTACAGGAAGGAAGACTAGATGCTTGGCTATTTTAGTGAAAATCAAAAGCCTCCCCCTCCCATGAGAAGTGAAGACATAATTCACTTTTATAACATCTCACAAACTGTATAAACCCCTACTTCTGCTGTGTTCCCATCCAAAGGCCCTTGGAAAGGAGAGAGAGAGACCAGAAACTCAAGTAGAGATAGGAATAGGAAGTGCCCTTTGTGCATGGGCTCCTATTACAGCATGCTATTTGGAAATTATTGAAATAATTTTAGAAGAAACTTACAGTCAAACCCCAAGACTGTAGCTAAGCTTGCATAAAACATATACAAGTCTCTGATTTTCTTCCCCTCATCATAGACAGTAATTTATTGAAAGCACATGGTTTAGTAGCAAGCTGTGCCTGGGACAGCAGTAAGATTCCAGTGCCCCCCTCAAATCAGAGCCTGCTTCCATCAAAAGGATCCACCCACAAAACACCAACCTTTGCTTGGTGGCCTGATCACATGGTGACACTTGAAAGCTGCTGGCTGCAAGACAAGACAATGATCTTATGATGCAGCCCTTATTTGGAAAGAGAGGCTGCCTCCAAGGGCCCAACCCAACTGAAAGCCTTGGTTTTGGAGAAAGAAGAAAGCCGCAAAGAGGATATCCTCAGTCTCCACCTCTAGATGACCAAGGAACTTCTCAGATCCTCCTTCACTTGTCATATTCTTTTCTCAGTCCTTGAAGTGCCCATCCTCGAGATGCCTCGGTTCCATTCGCATCAATTCAGCGTTACAAGAAATGTCCTCCCCCTTTGTGCAAGGCAGATTTCTAGGACGGAGGTAGCCCAGTTGCAGAGCGTTCAAGGGGATCGTTTCCTACAAGGGGTCCTTGGCCACCAAGACGGGAGGACGGGCTGCCTCACTTCGCCACAGCCGTCTGCTTCCGCTTCTGCCGTCGCACCCATTTTTCCAGCCTGTGCTGAAGCTGCTGCTGCTGCCTCTCGTGCAGGGTCTGCTGGACTCGGCTCTGGAACTTGATCTTCTTCTTCTTAATCTTGGCCAGCTCGGCCTTACGTTGCATCTCCAGATCGGGGTCCTGCCAGGAGGAGGGAAGGAAGAGATTCTGAGATGCCCAGAATCAGACCGTATTTGCAAGAGCCCCACAAACGGCTCCCCCTTCTCAAGCCCTCCAATCTCAGTTGCCTACTGTAACATCTGGCCTTCCTCCTCCTCAAAACTGTCTGTCTGCTCCACAACTATCACTGCTTGGTGGAAACATGGATTTCACAGCAACAACTCTGTTAAGGCTGAGTTCAGTTACAGTGTAGGCTGGTTCCGCATTAATGTGTTATGTGTACACCCAATGTTGCGCTCTGCAAACTCTGGTCTATCAGCCTGTGTCATGGCTAACCATTATGATTGTTCTGGAAGCCGCGGCTTAGCGCAATGAACAAACCCAGCCACACAGTAACCCTGGTACCTGGATAAACCAGAGACTGAAACCCACAGCGTGCTGTAGTGACCAGCACGCTTGATTTATAGTAATTGTGCTTTTGGTCAGCCAAACCAAGGATAAAAAAAGTACTATCAAAAAAAGGAAAAGAGGTTCTGTTGGCTGGCTCCTGATCTACAAGCCTCCGTCATTGGAGGGCTGTGGTGCTTCCCATGTACCCACCACATGCCACTGGCAGCAAGCGGACTCTTCCACCGTACCTTTCCCTCCAGGATCATCTGCTTCCGCTTATTTATTTCCTTCTTCTCGTCAAAATCCGTTGCCTCCAGTCTCTGGGTTTAGAAAAACACGCAGCATTGTAGGATTACTTGATTCACAGGTCCTTACAGAGGAGCACTGAAAGCAGTGGACCTGAACGGAGCCTATCGGCACCCGAATCCTCACTTGCCCAGGGAATCCATTTGGGGACCAGGGACCAGCTCCCTCCCTTCTCCTGCCTCCACTCACAATCTCACACTCCCGTCGCACCACGTTCACTTGGGTGAGAATTTTCAGCACAGTTTGTTCCTCCACAGAAAACTCCTGAAGCTTCATTTCTAAAGACAGGGTAAACAAGAGACTGACATAGTAAAACAAAGCTCAATCTTTTCACCACTCGCACGTGAGCATGTCTGCTCTCTCACGCCAGAGGAGAAAAGCCAAACTGCCCGTCTTAGGTAGGGTGATATCCAGCTCCTTGTTTCTGGCTGAATGGAGGAGAGGGGGCTGGCACCACCTAAAGCATTTTGGGACACCCTTTTTAATAGTCAGGTTTCCTTAGAGTAAACATGCCCTGGTTTTAGGACTCCTGACTGGAAGCATAACCTCCCCCTTTAAAGCATCTTATGTTCAAAATCGGCACGTTGTGCAGCATTTCCTAAACTGGGGCCCCTCCGGTCACGTCAAGGGAACCCTTAGAGCTGTAGCTCCGATGATGTGGAGGGTTCAAGACAAGCCATTCCCAAGGAGAGAAGAGAGGGTGGGCTGGTGGAAGGTATTCCCCAACATCTTAGTTTTTAGACCAAGAGAGCGAGTTCTAGACAGAGGCCCGCTGAGCTGGAATGGGAGGGGAGAGGAGAGAAAAGGGAAGAGAAAACAGCTGAGAGAACAAGCAGATTTCTGCTACTTGCATCCCCCGTTCAGATCCCTGGTCGGCTCTCTCTTCTCATCTCTGGGCTGCCAACTACGGTAGCAAGTGAAACTAGTGCCTTACAGGTTTTTCCAGGCTCCCCCCACCAAAACGTTTCCACCTTTTTGCAACTTACTGATCTGTTCCTCAATCGCATGGACAAGATGGATATCGTACTGGGTCACCAGCGTGATGGCGATGCCGTGCCGACCTGTCAAGGGTGGAGGTGAAAGAGACCTAAGCAGTGTGCAAACTGTTCTTCCCCTTTTCCCTTAAGAGAGCCGGTTTTAGATGGTACAGCGATGGACTTCCGAGAGGGGCACGTGCCTCACGTGAGGACTTAACCAGACCCACGCACTGCCCACAATCCATTAAGGGCTCTAAACCACGCATCTGAGTGACTCAAGCTGGAGGATGAGGAAATAATAGCAATCTTTACTGCAGTCCAGGACCAGTACTCTTACGCACAGATAACAAAGAAGCATTAAAACAAGGTCCAACAGATGAAACTGTCCATCTAAAAGAGTCACCTGCTGGGGGAGCTGGGCGGCATACAAATTTAATAAATAAATAAAACACATAGTAGCCAATTAAAAAAAGAAGGGCAGGGAGAAAGAAGGGAAGGCAGGGACTAAGTACAAGGTCCTCACTTAACGACCACTCATTCAGTGACCGTTCAAACTTACAACGGCGCTGAGTGGTTGTACGATTGGTCCCCTTAGTTGCAGCTGTCTCAGCGTCTCGCAGTTACATGATTGCCATTTGTGACCTTCGCTGCTGGCTTCTGACAAGCAAAGTCAACAGGGAAGCCAGCAGGAAGTCGCAAATGGTAACCACGTGATGTTGCAGGATTCACTTAAGGCAGCAACTGGAAGTGCTGGAACTGCCATTGCGAAGTGGTGCCATCACATGATTCTGGTCCCAATCCTTGTTAAGTGAGGATTACCTGTACTGCTCAGGGGCCTTTCTGACTGAGGAGTGAAATAAATATACTTGAGGTGATGAGTGCAAAAAACAAGTGTCTTGGCACACTAAAAATTCAAGCAGGAGGGAAATTCCAGCACAATCCCCAGAACAAACGACACCATTCCCATGACAAGGATGGTCCAAGGCCCAGAAGGTGGGGAATCCTAGAGGAAGGCATCTTCCGAAAGGCCAGTTCAAACACCAGCAAAAGTGGGCTCTGGAGTTGCAGAGTGCACAACTCTTAAAAAATCCTGTTGCTTCCAAAGAGAATGAGTCAGACTTAAACAACAACAGATTCAGAACTCCTGTTAATCAGAGCAATGGACAGAATCCCTCTTACCAGCCCGAGCTGTCCGTCCCACCCTATGGATGTAGATTTTGGGGAGTCCAGGTGTGTTGTGGTTGATGACTACTTGGACGGTGGGAATGTCGAGCCCCCTAAATCCAAACAGTATTGAACACAGAGAATAAGGTTAGGCTTGGCATCCTACCTAACCTGGGACACCCCCCAGGCCCTATTTTAGCCCCAGAGAGGCTTCACCCACCTGGCAGCCACATCAGTAGCTATTAAGATCTTAAAGACACTTGATTTGAACTTTGCCAGCGCTGCAAAACGTTGTTTCTGATCCCCCAGAAAAAAGAGGAGGGAAAAAAAGATCATCAGACCAGGAAACTGCCTTTTATCAAGATTGCTTTCTCTGGTGGTGGCTGCTTGCTGGGGATTCTGATGAGAAGAGAGGTTTCTGCTGGCTGAAGGATTTGTTTTAACTGGAATACTGGGAATTAAACCTGGAACATCCTGCATTCGCTGAGCTATGGCCACTCCCTAATTCTGGGCAGAAGCACAGATGGAGGTGCAGCTAAGAAACTGCTTGGGATGGAGGGAAAAAGAGAGTAGCTCGTGGACCTTCTTACGCCCAGTGGAGGCTTGGAGCTGACATCGATGCTTCACCCAAACTACGTGGCAAGGTGGCAGAGTGGCAGCAGGAAGGCCTGAGGAATCAGCATTTGGCACCAATCTTCCTTCCTCTGGGCAGCTGGAGGTGGCAATCATTGACTTACCTGCTTCATCATTGAGTGGAGAGCCACCGATGGGAAGTTGAACTTCCTGAGCATCATATTGAGAATCTGGCAGGTCCTAAAAAGCCAAAGTCAGTCTTTTGTTATTCTTGGGTAGGTAAGATAGCCAGTGCAGGAGGTACAACTCTGCAGCCTCTCAGAAACACCACTGCCCTACCCATCTGCTAACTCAAAGGGTGCTCCAGCTCACAATCATGCTACAAGGCAAGTTTGACTGCTTGGTCAATGCAATTCTTTGAGGCCGCAAATGATAGATAAGGAACTATTTGCTAAAATTCCTTGAAAGATTGACCTTGCACTGAGATGGGAGAGGTACGCTCCAGAACAAAGATGCAGCATTCACTTTCCCTGTGTTTTCTACTTATGGAAGAAGACAATGAAATCAAGCTGCAAATGGAGCAGGGAGTTTTGGGTCCATATCAAACTGGAGTTCTCACTCAAGGCACAAATGACCAGGCTCCAAGTATCCTACTTCGGATACAAGACCCAGCTCTCCAGAGAAGACTCCAACGCTGGGAAAGGTGGAAGGAAAGAGAAGAGGACAACCAGCAGCAAGGGGGATGGACTCAGTTACACAAGTGATGGGTGCACCTTTGGATTAGCTGATAGACCAGGTTAGGGACAGATCTTCCTGGAGAAAATTATATCAGTGTGGTCACTAGGAGTCAAAAACAACTTGAAGGAACATCATCCATTTATCCATCTATCCATCCCAGTTGAGTAGGAATGGCACACCTTAGACTTCAAAATCCCCCATGTGCTCCCAGCAGTGCTGGGTTCTGTACAGAAAGACTCACTCTTTTTCAGCACTTTCTATAGAAAAATCTGATCACAGTCATTCCAGGAAGTGCTAAAGGAAAGGACACGTCTGGGAGAAGTCTCATGCTGCTCAGAACATGTGGGATATTTTAAGTATTAACGGTTAAGAAAAGAGAAAACTACACTTCCTCCTCATCACTACATCATGCATTGGATAAACTAAGTCCACCCCAACCTCCTTCTCCTCAGTCTAATTTAAAATAAGGGGGGGGGGAGATTTTAAAAAATCAACCTCAAAAAGTGAACTGATAGGTAAGTTTTGACCTGACTGGCACATCACTATTCAGAGTCCTTGCATTAAGACTGAAATGTCAGCTCTGTGCCAAAAGAAGACAGGAGGAGGGGAGGGGAGGGGAGAGAACAGAAAAGACAGGAGGCGAAGAGGCTCCCGGCTCTGGACAAACTCACTTGCAAGTGTTGGTGAAGATGATGATGGACCAATCCTCATGTTCATCTTGGAATGTTTGCACAAGGTGGACCAAGTAAGCGTCTTTGACCTTCTCGGGCACCAGCAGGTAACGCTGGTCAAGCTGTTCCACCGTCCGTACCCTAGTAGGATTTGGGGGATAGAGAGAGGGAAGAAGAGATCTCAACAGTGTCTGGGCACAATATTAGCCCTTCAAGGGAGGCCAGGTCAAGAAACAGACACCAGAAGACTGACTGGAACTCTACTGTATTGTTGTAGACAGAATCTTGAAAGACTGACAGAGTTTCCCCTTGCCTCCTCTTATACCAGTACTGTATTTCTCCACCATGGAAACTTTAAGATGTGTGGACAGTCCACACATCTTAAAGCATGCTGGCTGGGGAATTCTGGGGGTTGGTCCACACATCTTAAAGTTTCCATGGTGGAGAAATACAGTACTGGTATAAGAG